TTGCCATATAACTGCACAGGAGAGGAAAAAAGGAGCTAAAATATTCACGTTTAGTCACGTCACAATATTCATTCGCACTGCTCATGTTGCCAGTTGGATGTAAGGTATAGAGAGCTCCCTGGTACTGCGATATTTACAATTTTCCTGACTCTATGAGGTTCTGGACACCTATATAATGAAGTGAAAACCAGATATTGTGTGCGAGGCATTTTTTGGCAAACAGTTGCATTCTTCCAGTCAATAAACCCCTGCTGGAGTTCGGTCGCTCAGGCGAGGGTTGATTAAGGTGGATGCATCGCAAGTCGGCTGCACTATGAACAAACGCACGCGCAAGTCACTGCTTGATATACACTGTGAGACAGTAGTGTATATTGCCGTTACGTTCCGGCAATGACAAACGGCATGTGCACACTCTCATCGCAGCTGTGCCGAGGGCTGATTTAGATCCTCGCGCGAACAGGGTCTGCTAAGCTGGTCTGGGCTAAGCTCTTGGAACAGCGGTGCGCGCCGTTGCTTGCTTACTAACGTCAGTCTGAGACTTATTGCATTGGGAATTATCATGCAAACATAATGCCTACTTTTTACAACAGTTCACCAGCTCTACGTTGGTGAGTTTCCATAAAAATGCGGCCTTTATCAGCAAACCGCTGCCTAGCAGTGACGAGAGCTCACGGCAGGTGTTAATCAGATTGCACAACGTCCGCGCATTCCTTGCTGACTGTCGAATTCGTTTGGAAAGGGGAACATAGTAGACCGAACGCCACGTTAGCCGCTAGGTCTAATCCCATGAACAGATGACAGACAGTCCCAGAAAATCGCATGATGCAAGGACGAGGATGGAGAGAAAGAGGTCACCTCTTGTAAATATATAATCATGTTAATCAGCACATTCCTTCCGAGAAGAATCTGACGGGCTTGACTCTACCACAGCATACCAAAATGCGTGGTTTGGAAAGCTACTAACTGACGGGGTGGCTCAGTCATTTCAGGGAGGACAGCTAGTCTCACATCGTCATTTATGATACTCTCCGCTGGGTGGGATACGAACCATTCTCTGTTAAAGCCTGATGCACTTTTGAGGGCAAGGTGGTGTGTGGCCTGGACTATCTGGTCTTTTTAGCCCTTGAGTTCGACCCTACTTTCGGTCATGCTTACTCTGTCCTCCCAGCGGGCGAAGGTGGGTTAGAGAGGGGAAAGTGCGATAGATACCGTAAAAGTCTGAGTTAACATGAAAACAATCGTGCGAAAGCCACTGTCCTGCAGTAACCACGTCGTGGAGTGCATACTTATAATAGTCGTTCTTGGTGGTCTAATTGGCTTCAACAAAATACCATTCTAATTATTATAGTCATTTAATTATTCTGATTAAGACTATTTAGTGAATGCACACTGAATAGAATAGTAAGCCTGAATTGCTGGAAAACCTTATGCCATCGTAATGTATTGGACAGCCAACACCTCATCTAATGGATTACTAAAGGTACGGGCTGCATTTAGTTGTTTATTTTGATGCATTGGTACATTTGTGACACGGCTTATGGACTACCTACTTTAGTTCCGGCCCGGACTTCCTGTAAAAGTTCCAATCGAAGTGTCTTCCGTATAAACGTGCGCGTTCAACTGCCACAGCGAGCACAACCAAAAATCTAAGTTGTTTTTTATAGGAGCACAAAATCCCTTGAATGTTAGAGGAAAACATGCAAAAGGTCGCTGTCCGCCCAACAGCTCGAATGCCTTTACAGATGATGTCCACCATGTGTCCCTCAGTATCTTGGGCACAATGACACTGACTTAAACGTAAATTAGCATATAGTAGTAATAGACTTGTTCGGCATCTACTGAACTCTCTCGTCCCTCACCCACTTTAGCCAAGGGCCAAGAAGGCCGAAGTCGGGTTTGGTCGCAGCGACTGAAGAAGTTAAATGATCATTCCATGCGCAACAAACACGCCAGCTGCTCTCACAGTGGACCAGGCATTCACACACCAGGAAAGGTGGATGGCTCGGATTCCACCAAAGTGGGAGTGCTATAGAAATCACATTACGAAGATACCATTCCAACCTGACTCTGTGTCATGAGAGGAGGGCTTAATTAGTCCTCAAAGCCATTAAAGCGCGTCAATTTGTTTAAAATGAAGATTTGCCAGGTACCACGAGGTTGCGGTTACCAGAATCGACCTCACGCCCTCTTTTTTTCCTAGGAGCAGCTGACTTGCCGATACTGGCAACCGTTTGATGCAAGGATTGGGCCAGGAGACTGACGTGGCGTGAGCCTGTGACTAGGCGGGCCACCGTACCTCCTATTTTGCCATATCTGCAACTGCATGTAGTACCTGAGTTGGGTGGGCATCCACGTAATCAACTTCCTTGCGACCTCCCTTGCCCCTCTTCTGGGGGAAAAACAGCCTGTGATTAGCGTTGCTGTTACATACGCAATGGCCCAAACTGT